CAAATGTTTTTGTGTGGATGCCTAAACAATACACTAAACAAATAAAACGATAAATATTGTTTAGTTTTACTCAACTTACGTGATCTGAAGTCACTCCTAATATTTTTTTTATATAACTTAGAAAATAGAGATCATCTAATTGTGACACTGTTTCTCGGTTTTCTCTAGAACAATATCTATTATATATAATTGCTTTTTTATTATTATTCTCATACAAAAATCCCACATCTGCGAAAAATTAAATCCGAGGAATGATAATGAGCTTAAAGCTGAAAACAGCAACAATAATAAGAGATAGGAATTGTACTTTACTGATCACATGCAGAAAGCGAAAAAGCTAAAACTTTCCTACGAAACTATTAATATATTTGTCGTTTTTCTTTGCAAAACAAGCGTTGTATAAAAATTCACTTTTTACACATGTCTTTGATTTCATTGGTATTCACTCCATTGTATTGTGCATTGTTCTCGTTAAATGCTCTCGGTATTGTTAAGGTTAAAAGTCTTTAATTCATTAAAAAAAATCCAAAAATACATTTCTTATAACAATAATATTTGTCTGCCAGTGAGATTCGATTCTTGTCATAATGATTATAAATTTTATTTTGACGTTTCATAATATAACAATAAGTTGATCAAAAAGTTGCTATTATCCTTTATGGTTATAACATGTATTGTCTGATGGATCGCTATGCGTTACTGTTTTTTTGATCGTAACACCGCTTTCGTTCGTCATTTTTAATAGTGTATGCTATCGTAAATATATAAATATGGAAGGGATGTCGTTGTGACAAATTCAGAGTTCTTTTTTTATCCCTTTTGTATATATATCTCTATTTATCCCTCTAACAACTTTCACCTTGACTAATAAAATAAATACCAAAACACCATGATTGCCGCATTACCAAGCAGTATGTTGATATGTTGTAGCATTGATTGCAATCTTGAAAGCAAAAAATTAATTTTTCCATCTAATTTTATAGATATCGAGCTTTTACAAGCCATTCTTTTTTTACAACCTTTCATTAAATTATTGATCTGGTTCCTGCTGATAACTTATACTTTTTGGTATCTAAGTAAGTATTTCTTGTTTAGCTTTATTGATAGGCACATTTATTCTAAACATTTATTTTTTTTGATTCAATAGGAATTGCGATTGAAATAATAGCGGGCCAACCAGTTTCAACTCTTGTAAAAACGACGACAAATGCAACACACGAAACACCAATATTACAGCCAGCCATATCTACACGGCAAGCTGAAATAATAATGATGAACGATGCTGGCCATCGTCAACAACAACGAAGAGAATTCAACGCACAAAATGTTCTTCATTCTTTATGGTTATCTGCCAGGATTCTTTTATAAAGAAAATTTCCTTTCGAAATTTTTATGTATTTTTATTCTTATTGTTATTCTTTCAAGAACAATTTTTCATTTCCTTTTTCCTTTGTTTATTTAATATTGT